CCGCTCACTTATGACCACAAATTTGTATCTCGGTAACCGATTTATGAATTTCCACCAAACTCGGTGCACTTAATAACCTTGGTACGGAAAAGCAGTTTGTTGAAAATCATTCAAATCGACCTAAAATTACACCCGCTTCCCGTATAACGGTAAAGTTCAGAAATGCGAAAACTCCCATATTTCAATAACTGAGGACTCTAATTTACTTCAAGTTAATATTTACAATAAACCCCTAACAATAAATAAGACTGCTATAGACTTTTAGGAATTGGGTGTAGCACCGCCCACTTTATACTACAAAGGTATAATCGGTAACCACTTAATCGATTTGTACCTAGCTAGGTTCAATTATATCATTAAGTCTAACTCTGCATATTATCGAAAACGTTTGAAAAAGACCTTAACTTATCATGCAAAGGTAAATCAGAGAAAGTTGAAACGACGATATTTGACACCTGCGCCGGGTATATAAAGTTCGGTTTCGCTCCTTCACTTGTTTTAATTCCATTTTATATAGTATGCGTAAAGGGTGGTCCAAAAACAGTAAAGTCGGAATTGTAATGCTCTCACCTCCTAGGATTGTTCTATGTCGAAAAAGTGTACCCCTATTTTTTTATTTTGAAATCAGAAAATAGTTGGAGGTCGCTCAAAGCGCTCAAAGTTTTCCATGTATTTTTATATAGGAAAAAAACAATTTTTCGTAGAAATGATATAGAATCCTTGAAAATCAATATTTTTCGATCGGAAAACTCTGTTTCTCTTCAGGAGACCTTCAGTAAAACATAATACCCAATTGTTTATTTAACCATGTTTTAATACCCACGATTTGTTATTGGTCTTCCCATTGCATTTTTCGGGGTTTTTGGTGGACCTATAAATTATAGTTGCGATGAAAAAATTTTTAAATAAACAATTGGGTATTATTATTGGGAGAACAGAGTTTTCCGATAGAGATGATTTTTAAGAATTATATACCATTTCTACAAAAAGTTTTTTTTCCATATAAAATACATGGAAAACTTTGGGCGCTTTGAGCGACCTCTAAATATTTTTTATTTCAAAATAAAAAAATGTGGGTATATTTTTTGCGGTATAGAACAATACTAGAGGGTGAGAGCATAAAAATTCCGACTTTACACTGATGACAAATGCAAATAAGGATTAACATTTTAAAACTAATTAATACAGTTAAAGTATGCATATTAAAGATGATAAAATATGACTTCGATAAATATATCGAATAAACTAGTTTTCGTAAATATTTAAAATTTACTTGCTGACATATTTTACTCAATTTAAAATGTGCATATATGTACATTTAAACTGTCGTGGAAAAAGGTTGCTGGCATCATATTGCCAACGTGTTTGGACCATTTTTCCCCTCGTTAACAGAGTACAGCTTTGTTGTAAGAATGTTGAGGAATTTTATACATTTTCGTCCGTTGCTGTGGATCATTGCTTACGATGGAGTCTTACGCCTGCCTGTTGTGTGTTAAAATAATTGACTAATAATTGACTATGCGGATGATATTGACTACGCGGAAGTACTGCTAACTTGGTCGACGAATGGCTTAAACGTAATGGTTTCCGGCTAGCTATCCAGAAAACTGAAGGTGTACTTATAACAAGCAGGAAGAAGAAAGACAGTACGACTTTGAATATAAATGGGTATGTATTTGAAACCATACCAACAGTAAGAACCTTAGGTGATGATATACGCTAGGTTATCATACAAAATACACATTGAAACGGCTATTAAGAAAGCGGCTACAGTCCATAATACGTCAACTAGGTTAATGGCAAATTTAGGAGGTCTTAGCCAGAATCGAAAGAAGCTCTTGAGTAAGGTAACACATTCGCAAGTTATGTATGCGGCCCCTGTTTGGGGGCATGCACTCACACATAAATCGTACGCTAATAAATTAAACTCGATTTTCCCGCTTAGTGCCCTACGTATATGTAGTGCCACTAAGCCACACGGCCAGTGTGATTGCTGGTATAATGACTGTTGATCTAATGGCTAGCGAGATTCAGCGCACCTATTCAACCTCCCGATCCACTGGCAGAGCCCTCTCTAAGCACGAGATCGCGGCCGAACGCCATCCGCGCATCGAAGCCAGGCTTAGCAGATCACATGGCGAAGTAGATTTTTATATGACCCAACTCCTGAGTGGAAATGACTGTTTCAGGCAGTACTTATGCAAGTATGGTCATGATGACATAATGGCGTGTGGTTCATGTGGAAGTGTACCGCAAACTGCCGAGCATATATTCTTTACATGCCCTTCTTTTCTTTTTCATATATGGTAAATGACATTAAGGTCTGAGACGGAGTGAAATCTGACTGAGCTTAGAGTAAAAGAACAACGCCGCCGGATAGAGTAAGGTTATAATGAGTGAAATAAATGAAGTAATTGAAATTAATTGTGTTTCACTCTTGTTTTTTACTCCGCAGGAAATCTTTCTACTAAGCACAGACGGCAAAACGCTCCTGAACCCCTTTTCACAAATGTGGATGAGGGAATATGGAAATGGCGTTAAGAAGCCAGGCATTTTGTAGTCTACGGCCCCTATCTGATGAAATGCGGGCCACTTGATGGATAGTGCGCTATCCCAACGCCTGTACAAAACAAAAAAAAATATGTATGTACATGTGTGTCTACATTAGGGTGCTTTTTGTTTCGGCAAAAATTTTTTTTTTTACTCCCACCTCGAAATTTTGTGGGTACTACCTAAAAACAAGTTCCCTGAAAATTTTAGCCCTTAATATTAACATTAAGTGCTCGTCCAAGGCGTGTAAAGATTTCCAGTTCGAAATACACGTAAAATTTGATTCTTTTTCTTCAAATACTACAGCTCAGAGGCATTTTGCGGTATAATCTTGGTCAATGATAGGGTTTCTTCAGAATTGAATGCTCTACAAAAGTGCCCATTGCGGCTTAACCCCCCGGCTCCCCCCAGCGAGTTAGTACGGGCCACCAAACCCAATTTTTTCATGAAATTCTCGTTTTTGCCCCTATCTCGTAAATAACAAGAGCTACAGAAAAAATGTCAATGGCAATTTTTTGGGATATTGGACTTTGAAGTTTATCAACAATCATGTTTGGTCTAGGGTGGATTTCTTTTTTATTTTGGTTACTCTTTTCAGGAAATACCCATATGCCAGTAGACAAGATTAGTAATAAGAAAAATAAATTGCTATAAAAAAGTTAGCTTTAAAGGCAGCCCTAAATTTCAGTCTGCCACAGAAAGATATTTGACTGTGTAATTTGCGTGCCCGGATTTATTCTTAAATAAAACAACTAAACGGTTGTTCTAAATCCTGAATTTGTCCCGACAATAAGTCTTATTCGACCAGTGTGCTTTGGGGCAGTAGGCATCGATGCGTGGGCTGTTGTACTTAAAGTAGGAATAATATTAAGAGGCTGTAATTGACCTAATAAAAAAATCTGTTCACTATTGCAAAAGGAGAATAGAATTATCAATTTCAATATGTACGTATATATTCTTAAATATTTGACAGTTGATTGGTTAGAGTAATATTACATAATATCTGTGCTCATAAGCAATAAACGTCTAAGTCAACTTAAAAAAGAATTATAGTTATATATGTTACCGTATTCCGTAACTACTATTCCATTCGTGTGTGAAAACCCCATCTCGCCAGCTAGGCTATTTAAAAAGTTAGAGACGAAAGTATTTTTGTTTCCCCATATGGCTAACAATATAATCCAAATATTTAACTTTTTTTCTAGATTTCAGGGCTCGAATCGTCACATACGATATCGTATTACTCGTCACGTAAAAACGCCGTTTTCGGATTATGACATACGTGAGCGTACTCTTTATCCCATTCAACTTCTACGACCGACGGTATCACGTAATTTTCTTTCGTATGGTTTTCGATCCGTGAACGGATGTTACGATTCGAGCCCAGGTTTTTCGACATAGGCGGTTATTGCTTATGACCACAGATATGTGCCTACATAAATACATAGTTAGTACATAATGCTTAAAAAATGTTTATTTTAATAAATTTGCAATCAGTACATCTCAATATGTTCACTTCATCATTTAATGTTCTTAAATATTCTAAGTATAAGTATGTTTGTGTATGTATTATAAGTAAATTAAATATATTGAGTCGTATTTATAGTCAAATTAAAGTCGACTCTAAAATTAGCTGCAGCTTTTTGAAATAATTTTCAATGGAATATTTGTTAAAAAAGCTGCAACTCAATTTATCGACTTTATTTCGACTATGAATATTCCCCAATATATGTACATCCAATTAGAGCTCTAAAATTATATAAAGTTCATCCTCGTCTCTTTACATTGGGAAGTGTGTGTATGTATAGATGTGAGAAATGAGTAAGAGCCGAAAGAAATGAATGCAAAAGAGAAGAATATCCCATAGGAAATTAATGTTAAGCATAGTCTGAAAGTTATGTAAACAGTGAACCAAATAGGGAAACATAAGCATATATAAAACAAAAGTGTTGATTTTAAACAGCCAAAACCAATTTAAAGCACAATTAAATTCGAGTTACTAGTAAATAAGAGGTACCTCAGTTACCGGAAAAGGCAAATTAATAAATTCGACAATTTTCAAAGATGCACGATATAAAAAAAAAACTATGTGAGAATTGCATTTAAATAACAACGATGCGGCATTAAATGTTTATATGTGCAACAACATGTGAAATTTTTATAAATTAATATGTACACATGTTTTTAGGTGCTAAGCATCAAAGCTAAACTTTCACCAAAAGCCTTTAAAATCATTAACAATGCAAATTAAATTTAAGTTGATGTTTTAGATGCAAGAAATAAACAATATGCAAATGACCGATATCACATCGCATTTAGCGCACACACATAACAACGTATGTACATGTGTATGTATTCAGATACATATGTGTACGCTGATTGCTTGATATAATATTTGTCAATTTAGATATGTATGTTAAGCTCATTTGATTTGTATGACATTCACTCACCTCTTTTCATCCGCAACACAATTGTCACACTCGGCGATAGTATCCCGAAGTACGTTACGATGGTGAACTATAAGATGCCTTTCGTCCTCATAATTGTAATCCACCTCATAATTCTCATCATCGGAATGCAGGTTTTGGTGTTCACCAGCGATGGTTGTAGCAACGGGGGCAGAAGAAGAGCCGAGGGAAGTATCATTCTCATCGTTGTCATTCGCGGAGGAGCCATCCAATAATCGCGATTTCTTATCACGACGAAGCGTTGCAATTTTCTTTTCTTCTTCTTGCTTTAACTTCTCAACTTCATCCTTTGACAGGAATGAAAAAACTTTTTCTATTGGTGTGTGCAAAACGAAAAGAAAAGTGGAAGAATAATGTATGTATGTGAACAATATAAAAGAGCATATACATAGAAAAGTCGTGAACAAAGAAAAAACAACTGAGAAAGGCCATTAAATTCTTCATTCACGCAAACTTTGCCTGACAAGTAAAGGCGCCTTTGGCTTCATGTGTCGAGTCTACAGGACTGTTATCTGAGCAATTGGATTGCATATTCAAATATTTCGAATTTGCAGGTTGACTCCTTCGCTAAACCATATTTATATGTATGTACATAGTATAGGTAAGAACTTACAGCTGTACCTAAACAAAAACGTTGAAGGGAGCGTTTTCTGCAACAAAACAAAAGCGTCAACGCTACGTCAAATGTGCAAATAGCAGAAACAATGAGCGCAGGTCTGTGTGTGTGAAATACGAAAATCACATTTTTACGTTTTCTACACCCATTCTTCCAGCCTGTCGAACATGACCATCGCACACATTCAAACCAGGGACCGAACATAACCGTTATTGATGAAAACTGTTATGGAAAATTCACTATGAAGGAAATATTCTACAACTAAGTGATACATACCAATCGATTTCTTTTTTCCGAGACTCAAATTGAAAACAAATTTTTATTCGCAATTTGTATGCAAAATTAAAAAATATAACAATTATTTTTTATTTTTATATTATAAATACAAAATAACAATTATTTTTGTTTTTTTATAATATATGCCTTGGATAACAGTTATTGAAGACTTTTATTTATAAAAGTTATAAATAACAAGTAAGAAAGTCTAATTTTGGACGGGGCCGAACATTAAATACCCGGCGCAAGTATTAAATATATGTTTTTCACCTCTCCGAAAGCTGCCGCTACATGGTAAGCCGGTGTGTATCAATTTTGAGTAAATTAGCGTCCTCAAATTTCGAAATATTGAAGTTTCAAGCATTTCTGAAATTTACCGTTACATGAAAAGCGGCCGTAATTTTAGTCCGATTTCAATAATTTTCAACGTTTTGCTTTTATGTGGCAAGCACAATAACCATACCGGGTTTAATACAAATTGGTAAACGGCTACCGAGTTACATATCGTTGCCTTAACATAGAAAGGCCCTATCTGACATCGTCGCTGATTTACAAAAAGTGGTAACTAACTAAAAATCGAAAATTTAAGTTTTAATTGATTCTGATGCAGTTGATCGAATTATGTGGCCTCACATCGTTTTATGCAATAAAAGATTTTAGTTAGTTACGGCTTTGTGCATTTCAGCGACGATGTGAGATAGGGCCTTTCTATATTAAGGCAACGATATATGTGATCATAAGTGGGCGGTGCCACGACCATTTTCCAAAATTTTATCATAAACGTATTTCTTGGTGAAGGATTGTGGCAAGCGTCACTTTTGAATAAATTTGCTTTAATATTTACTAATTTATCGAATAGATTTTGTATTTGGATGTGGGCTTGGTTATTGTCCGATTTTAAAAAATTTCGGCCATTTTGTATGTTGTACCAAGGCCACCAACTGTGCCAAGTTTGGAAGAAATCGGTGCAGCGGTTACCAAGATATACACATGTAACCATAAGTGGGGGTGGCTACGACCATTTTCCAAAAATTTATAATATTCTTATTTTTCGTCTGAAAATTATTGTAAATATCGATTTTGAGTGAATACTCTCCAGTAGTTACTAAAACATCGCAGTTTTCGTATTTCTGAAAATTACCGTTACATGGGAAGTGGGCGTGGTTACAGTCCGATTTCGCTAATTTTCAATACCAACCTACCTTGGATAAAGGGAAACCTACATACCAAATTTCGTTGAGATATCTCAATTTTTGCTCGAGTTATCGTGTACACGGACGGACGGACAGACATATATGGCTTAATCGACTTCTCTCTTCATTCTGAGCATTTATGTATAAATTTGTCTATATCTATCTCGATTCGTTTTGACTGTTACAAACAACCGTTATGTGAACAAAATTATTATACCCTTGTGCACAAGTGCGCTCGGGTATAAAAATCAGTCAGTGCCTTTTACTTTAAAAGTCATCAATATAAATCAGTCACCGGCCTTTATTTTTTAAATCATTCGTATAAAAGTCATTAATATTTTTCGCAGTCAAGAAGGGTTTGGAAACAAAAGTTTATTATGACTTATACAAAAGACTTTTATAAGTATGATTTAAAAAATAAAAGTCAGTGACTGATTTTTATACCCGAGCGCACTTGTGCACAAGGGTATTATAACTTTGTTCACATAACGGTTGTTTGTAACAGGCAAAACGAATCGAGATAGATATAGACAAATGTATACATAAATGATCAGGATGAAAAGAGAAATCGATTAAGCGGTGACTGTCTGTCCGTCCGTCTGTGCACACGATAACTCGAGTAAAAATTAAGATATCTTAACGAAACTTGGTACGAGTAAGTCTTTCGGGCGTATGACGGATGGTATTGAAAATGGGCAAAATCGGACAATAACCACGCCTACCTCCCATATAACGGTAATTTTCAGAAATACGAAAACTGCGATATTTTAGTAACTACTGAAGATTATTAACTCTAAATTGATATTTACAATAATTTTTAGACGAAAAATAAGAATGTTATAAATTTTTGGAAAATGGGCGTAGCCACGCCCACTTATGGTTACATGTGTATATCTTGGCAACCGCTGCACCGATTTCTTCCAAACTTGGCACAGTTATTGGCCTTGGTACAGGATACCAAATGGCCGAAAAGTTTTAAAATCGGACAATAACCACGCCCACATCTCATATAACGGTAATTTGGAGAAATACGAAATCTTCGACAAATCAGTAAATATTAAAGCCAATTTATTCAAAATTGATGCTTGCAACAATTCCTTACCAGGAAATACGTCTATAATAAAATTTTGAAAAATGGGCGTGGCACCGCCCACTTATGATCACATATATGTATCTCGGTAACCGTTCCACCAATTTGTACCAAACTCGGTATTTTTATTAGAAATGCTTTAAACGTCAATATTTTGAAATTTAAGGACGCTAATTTACTCAAAATTGATACACCCCGGCTTACCATGTAGCGGTAGCTTTCGGAAAGGTGAAAATCATATATTTAATATTTGCGCCGGGTATTTAATGTTCGGCTCCGCTCGAACTTAGACTTTCTTACTTGTTATTTATGAGTTTTATAAATAAAAGTCTTCGATTACTGTTATCTAAGACATATAATTTAAAAATCAAAAATAACTGTTATTTGCAGATTACTTACATAAAAATCAAAAATAATTGTTGATTTGTTATAAAATAAAAGTCAGAACGGTTATTTAAAGAGTAATTACATAATAGTCAAACAATAATTGTTAAAGAGCGATTTTTTAATAAAAGTTGTAACTGTTAAGGTCCCCGATTCAAACCAAAAAAACCGTCATGTAAAACGTTTTTTATTTTAACAATAGGCTTAACTTATAAAAGGTTAGCGCTTACACATACAATGTTGTCACACAAAGGGGAGGGACCTATAGTTTTACTCCGACTCCGAACGGCGATTGTATTTTCATGAGTAGCTGTTTTTCATGGCAGAAATACACTCGGAGGTTTGCCATTGCCTACCGAGGGGCGACCGCTCCAAGCATTCGTACGGGACAAAAACACAAGTGGTTTTCGCGACCAATATTTCTAACGTCGCTTTCAGCGAAACCTGGGGCAATATTTCAATGGGACTAATTTTAGAATGTTGTGCATTGATGTCTCTTAAAAATAGTTTTGATTTTACCTAAAAATTATGAATACTTTTTTAAATTTTAATCAGTGTCTCCAGCAGGCAAAGCAAAAACTTACAGTTAATTGCAATCGCATAGTTTCTTACGCATTTTATTATTATTGTACCCATAAAGATTTTAGAGAGCAAAAGTCAATGCATAAATCTTTAAGAACTTTTGTCAAAATAAGATGTGCAAAAGAAATATCGAAATAAGAAAAGTTGCGCTTGCATAACTTTGCATTCGAAAGTCTCGAAATGGTTTATGAATAAATGTATTGTACGTATTTTTTTGTTTCTCTATGAAAATATTTAGCAATGTAATTTTATTAACTTTTAATATTTTCTCTGTGGACCTTCTAGTGGAAATGCCCAATGTAGCTGATAATACTGTGATATAATTTCAAGGTTTTTCTGCTGAAAACATTTGTAGAACATTTTAGCCCTTTAACATTATTTTAATTTAACTTCAAATGAGGGACAAAAAGACCCCCAAACGGAAGTTGAAAATTTACTATAAGTCTCGGGAGTTTTAAATCAATTTATGCATTATTCACTATCTCATTAGCACATAGACATAGTGCAGCGAACTAAAATACAGCGGCTCAACTGGCTCAGCCATATCGTAGAAATGAACAGAAATGCTCCAGCTCTGCGGTAACAGAGGAAGAGGAAGGACTCCTCCGCGATGGGAAGACAGTAGAAATATGTGTCGAAACAGTATTTATTCTTATGCACCAATACTATATACGTAATCCTTTAACTAACTAACGCTTTGGATAAACGTAAATGAAATCCATTATTAACCATATATTGTCAAAAATTGGTAACTAAGTATACACATTTAGTAGATGAATCTAGACTTCTTTCTCAATATACTACACACTGAATATGAACCAAATCGGACCATTTTTCAAAATATCTCTGTCCAAGCTCAGGCCAGATATATGTATAATAAATTATTATTAATAACTCACCAAAGCTACATCGAATCCAATAACATCCCTGCAAACCAAAGTTCCCGAAATCTTAACGAAATCTTTATTATTATTATTTTATTATATATATATTTTATATTTTATTATTATTATTTTACTATATATATATTTTATATTTTATTATATATATATATGTATATATATTCTTCACATAGCAGCATTATTTTCATTGCTTTAACGATTTTCTTCCGAAATTTCGTAAAAGAATCGCAGTGTGTATAGTTTATTTCATTTTAGACGATTCGGCACAAA